CAGAAGTAACCAATGTATCATCCAATATGTTCCCGAGCTGGAGTCTGCCTTCATTATTCTTCTTCCTCCTTGAATAGGCCTGTCATTCCTCTTCCGAAGAATTGGTCTGATGGGGTGGTAGAGCTGAAGCAGAAGAAATATCAACCATAGTACCCACAATAGGTTCTAGCATATGTGAAGTATGAGCTGCCGCTACACCGGATTCTTCATGAAGCTACGAGGCTCTCCTGATTATCATTTTGAACACTTTCATTTGTAGGTAATAGTCAACCAGTATTATTTTCTATGGGGTTTAAAGGTGTCAACATCACATCCCTCGCAGTAACAATAACAACAGTGTCTACACCGGATACTTCATGAAGCTACGAGGCTCTCCTGATTATCAGTCTGAACACTTTCATTTGTAGGTAATAGTCAATCAGTATTATTTTCTATGGGGTTTGAAGGTGTCAACATCACATCACTCGCAGTAACAGTAACAACAGTGTCATGGGGGGTCCTTAGGGGCAACAGACGCCTTCTGTCTGGTAGTATCCTCACCAGGTGGAACTAAAATGTCCAAAGCAGTGGGTTTAGACCCATTCTTATTCACTTGAACCTTAGATTTCAAATTTGTTGAACCTTAGTTTTCAAATTTGGATGGAGTTTATAGCATTTATCAAGGATATGACCAAACATCTTACAGTGGGTACAATATGGGGGTCTGTGTTTCAAGACGATTTGTTGTCAATATCCATTGTGGGTTGTGCCCAACCAGAATTCAATAACATCCGGTAAAGTAATATCCCTTTCCACAAGTATTATGGCCACCGAGAGTCTGGCTAGGTTGAAAGTAGGCAGATCTAGCTTCAAAGGATCCCCTAGGATGACCCCAATAGAGTAGAGAACCTGTTGGTGAAAAAAATGCAGCTTGAGACCAGGTAAACTAAACCATACCGGTACAGTGGGAGTTTCATGGTTTAAGTCGAAATCAGGAGACCACTTGAGTAACTTCATAGCTTTTCCTGCGATATTAAGATATTTCTTGGAAAAAATTTTAGTGGTCTTCAACCATTGTTAATTGGATCAACACATGTCTCTCATCCATAAGTCCCACCTTTCATTTGTCTACTGACTTAAGATCATCTACGCTCTTTCTAATAACCTCCATAGGTGGATGTCTCTACTGAAATTTTTCAATGAGAGAAAACTTGAATTTTTGTTTCAGGGTAGAAATTTCTGAGTCAGAGAAAAAAAATTGCTTTCCCACCTTTTCTACTTCCCTTTTTAACAAAAGGACAATTATTTGTGTCATCGCGACATTCTTTATACTTTGAGGGGAATACCACCGCGGACTCCACCTGAGGGTTTCCCACCACGTGGGCAAAGGAAACCTTTGCCTGTTCAACAAAAGAAGAAGTGCCATCAGAATAACCAGCTGTCACCAGCAGCGAGAAATTTGCGTTGGGCTGGAGAGAAAGGCGCAGAAAGAAAGCAGAAGATCGGACCGGAGAATCACTGACATAGACAGTGGAGCTGGACTCCGACGCAGAAGCCGCGGATTGCAGCTTGACAAGGTCGACGCTCGACACAGAAGCTCACATCATTGTCGACAATCACCGAAAACAAAACAATCCTCTGCTGACATGTTAGTGCAAGCGGCAGAGGCGGAGACTTCTTCCTTCGGTTGAACCCTAAGAAGCGCCATGAGAGCTCTGGCTCGATTCTCCCGCCACGAACCCTAAGACCCGCACGAGAGCTCTAGCTTCAGATCAGAAGATCGGACCGGAGAAGCACTAGCGCAGACAACGCAGCTGGACGCTAACTTTTGATTTTCATTCAAAATAAT